GAAGTGCTTTCAACTTTTCCAACGTTTGCTGACATTGTCTGAACCATTTCCACTCAACATCCTTTGCTAGTAACTGATTCAGGGTTTGACTTAGCCGATGGACCTAGGGCAAATATGTACTGTACTGACTCACAATGTTAAGGAACGGTCTCAGTGATCCAAGATCTGTTGTCGCAAGCAGACGGTCTATCACCTTGATCTTTTCTAGATCCGGTCTTCAGCCGTTCTGATCGATCACAAACCCCAGAAACTTGACTGACTTCGTGAATAACATGTATATCCTGTCGCAAATGGGATTCATAACCTTAACTCTCAGTATGACTTCATCCAGACGTTTGAGCAATCCATCTTTTGTTGCGCCTATTACGGTGATGTCCTCCAGATTGGTCGCTGCTCCCGGTACCCCAGTCAGCATAGTATCCAGCACTTGTTGAAAAATGGCGGGTATTGTCTTGACCTCAAATGACAGACAGTTGTATTAATATAACCCACAATGCGTGTTAATTATAAGAAACTATCTGCTTGCCCGTCCGATCTCTAACCGCAAGTAAGCATCTGTTAGATCAAGTCTAGCAAAATCTCTGCCTCCATTCAGTTTTACAAACACGTATTCAGGCTGCGGAAATAGATATTGATGTGGTTCCAGTGCGGCATTCAAGCCGGTCGTGAAATCTGTACACAGAGGAATAGTGTCATTTGTTTTCTTGATCACAATGATGGAGGCAGCCCACTGAGGGAAAGCGAATCTTTCAATCACACCAGCTTGTTCAAATCTATCAAGTTTCGGTTCGACAAATTGTTGTGACGCGTATGGAACCGGACGCCTAGGTCGAAACACTGGTTTCGTTTCAGGACGCAGCGTAAGTTTTGCTTATATCATGATGCAGGGTCCAAGTTCGGATCGGAAAACACAAGCGTACTTTGCGTAAAGTTGGACAGCAAAGGTTTGATCTGGATGTGTCGATATAACTGTGTGACGGACGCGGTATCTTTTGTACACACAAGATTTGTGGTATGTTGAGCAAGCTCAGTTTGTCAATCCAATTCATTCCAAGAATATTAATATCGACATAGGAAACCAGCTAGATCGTTCCGTAAATGCGCACGTCGTTCGGTTTCACATCATAAACAATCTCTCCATCCAGCTCCAGTGGTTCGCCGGATGCATTTGGCGCTGTCAGCCTGGTGGGTTTAACTGCAGGTCTACTGATTTTCATCCACCTTGTTCGCGAAATGATTGTAATATCAGACGCTGTATCCAACTGCAAAGATACCGGAACCTTATTGAGACTTACTGTCAAATACCTTCGCTTGAGTGAAAAATCTGTCCGAAAGGAAGCGAAAACGACCCTTGTTCTCGCTCCGACAAACCGCGTCCTTTTTCACTTAGTGTTCGCGGAACACTTTGGGTTGTGCACTCTCCTGGAATTATGCGTCGCGTGACAGCGCGTTTCTTTATGACCCATACGCTCGCACTTCTGACACTGGTGCTTTTTGTAGCCACAGAATCATGCAAAATCCCATTCGCCACAGTTCCGGCAAGCAGTCAGGGGCTTGTGTTTTGTCACATTACAACTCCCATTTTGACTTTGAACAGCCATGCGGTAAATTCGTGTCTCCATCCTTGGGTCAGCGTTTCCAATCATATTGGTATCATGTTTCAAGTAGATCAACCTCTGACATTCAGATGCAAACTCATGTAACGTCAACTGGGGTTCCTGCTCTTACTTGTGAAGGATGCCTGTTCTCACATCATCATCGGTATGCGATTGAAGACTGCAAACAAATACTAGGATTTTGAACTGATCGCCTGTCATGGATCCCATGTTGAACCGTTCACATTCTCTGTTCACGATTCCGGCGTGTGTGACCAAACCATGAGTATCTCTTTTGACAAGTTTGGAGCAATTATATCGAATGCTGAACAACGATGAGTGCTCACCGAAAATTTTCGTCGGCGTTTTCTCTGCTTCATCCAAGCTAAAGTCTCTTGCATTCTTTGATTAGACGAACTTTATGTATCGTTCATATTAAACTACACCAAGTTTTCTCGACAGCAACCGAACTTTCCAAGCATCATCTTGGTCGGCCAATACCACCCGAAAAACATCTTCTTAGTTTCGGAACCGCCATTCGAATGTTACTCCACTCAGTCCATCGAAAACAAATTCTGTAATTGATGCTGCAATTGCGTCAACGGATGACTGTGCGACTGTTGCCGTGGGTTCGGTTTGGATGTTCACTTTCGGTGAAAACAACTCGATCAATTGCTGCTGAGACTTCTCAAACTGCAACTGCTGCTGATGAAGTAGAGTCTGCATTTGCTCAAACGAGATTGACATGTTTGTTCAAAATGCCGTCGCTAGAAAATGTTGTGTCGCAGCTGGCTCCGTCACTCCACTACCGCAAGAAGAACTCCATAAACGTGCCGGGAAAGTATCCAGCGCATTGAATCATGTCTGTTTAACTAGTTTTAAGTATCGTCTGGAGGGAATCTACTAAAAGACATTTCAGCCAAACATATTGATAAAAGCTTGCAAGCAAAATGAAGTCAATCAAGAGTGATCAACAAAGGAACCAATAAGAGAAACGCACGAACGAAACGATAGAGTGTTAGCAATCAAGTGGCATTGCGATGCGAGAGCAAAAGCAGTGACCACAAACAGCCAGTGGAATTAGCGGAATGATATGTTTAAACAAATGTCACTAACATCGCTAGCTGAAGGAAACAAATCGTTGATTAAGACTGTTTTCCAAAACATGTATGTGCAAGACGTGTCTCCCTAACAGCTGTGATACGAGAAATCTTCCTCTATGCACACAAATACAAAGGCTTCCTCAACTTGTTTGCCACATTTCGATCACGTTAGTTCACAGGCATTTACGTTCTTATTTTCATAGCTGAAACTGGGTTTCACTCAGAGAGTAGCAACACCAAAATGGCGATGCTGGGAATGTCACTCGTCTGAAATGGTTGATCTAGCGCGAGAGGTGAGGTAATACTTTACTACCGTAGCGAATTCCCATACGAGCCATTAGATGATCTTAAGACACGAGTCACCCATTCACTGTGGTACCGTCTACTGCTCAACCGTAACGGCAAAGACCGCCTCGTGTTATGCAATGAAGGATTCTGTTACGTACCGATCGTGTATTTCTAATCCGAGTACGGACCCATACGTAAGAACAAGTAGACAATCACTGAATGCGCGAAGCTGTATTTCGACACTTACGTCGTATCAAGAGAGAAACAACTGGGACAAACGAATCAATCAGAAAACAAGGCTGGTATCTAGCTATTGATCGATGCAGTCAAGGCTGCGATACCTGCACGTTTCCGTGTAGTTAGCCGACGGCGACATGATTCACAGTAGTGGGTGCGTCCGTAACAGATTCTCGTTTATCATTCGCCTTGAGAAGGGTCCTGTTATCAAGGTAGAAGCACAGTCTCGTCTCGGGTAATTTCTGTGTATAGGGTCTGGAAGTCTCGGCACCCCAGCGAACAGTTCAAAGTCGACATGCATGAAAGCATTCCACTGCGCAGTCATGTCAGTTCACCTAGTAGATTCAGAGGGGAAAGCAAACTGTCAGTGTTTAATCTAATGGTTACAACTGAGGAGCTCACGATCAACAAGACTCAGCTGGAGCTCAGTGATCATGTCACCATGCTTCACGACTATGTCGAAACGCACGAATTTGAACGTACGATATCACACTGCAATATAGTAGCAAAATTCATTGATGCTATCAGATGCGAGTTGTCAGATCACTGTTTCTCCGATATTGTTTGATGGCAGAGTTAGCACTTCAGGTCAGAAAACTAGCTATCTCGCCCAAAAATCGTATATTGTACGCATGGCTTGAAACGGCATGGATCTAAGGGGAGTATTTGCAGCGTTATCCCAAGTCCCAAAATCTAGCGAAGTTAAATGATTCAACGTAATCACTGCACCACGCATGACCTTAATGGAAAATTATACACCTGCAGCGTTCTGTACTGAAATTCTGCGCCAACAACAGGCTGCTGTGTAGATATGTCAACAGTCTTCGGAAAGTGAAGCTTCGCAGGCCCACACCGTCTCAACAGATCGACTTCGCAATGCACCTAAGGAACAGCCAGCGCTTTACGGCTGTAATATTCTCCAATATTCCAATGGTACGTATCCATCGGTATCTAAATGCGTCAGGATTCGTCTGTATCACCTTTAGTTCAGCGACACGGTTAAGAAAGGCGCTGTCCGCGCGTAACCACAGTTCTCCTGAAGCTGGTAGCGTACACTGGAAGGCGCTGGAGTTAGTGCCAACAGCAGGTCCGCATCGTGTGGAAATATATAGTTATCACCTTTGTTTTTAGATTTGGTAGCTTCTCCGAACCCATTGATAATCGCCAAATGATCCTCCCCCAGCACTGCAGAGGTATTAGTAGACTATCTGAATATACCTTAACCGCTTAGCCCTGGAGAAACATGGTTCCCGTTAGAACCATTCACGCATGCGGTAGTTGAACCAAAACCGCGGAAAATGTGAGGAGAATAGTTTCTTTTATAAGGCCATTTGGGTCCTTTTCCCGCCTAGACCCCCACATTTTTCTTCAAAAGTCCCACGGTTAAGAGTAGGAAAGGGCATGTTTACTTGCACAGGTTATTTCCATCTTCACCGGCATCTTCAAGTGACCATTCTATCATCACTTCCCTGCCCGATTCAGGTCGAATGCGGTATTCCAATAGGTTTGGCACTGGGATCACACCTAGTTGTGGTGTTCAATAACTGCCTCGCATATGTACCCGTCTGGAAGTTGTGACATGATTTGTTCACGGCTGGCATAAAACGGTAGTGATGGGACAGAGGAGAATGGATGTTTGCACTATTGGTCAAACATTCTGCTAAAGTCTCCCCACTTCCGTTTAACAGATAGTAGAGTTGTCTTTACTTGTGGTCTATTTAGTTCAGACCCGTTGTGCTAATGAATTTGCACCGTTGTATGAACACTTACTTTTCAGATGTGAAGTTTTTCCGCGACAGCTTATTAAAGCATCACAGACAATTTATCATGACACAGATGGTTCCGGTGCAAAGACCTATTGGCATGTTCTTGATCGACACTTCCACAATGCGATCTCTTCTGTTACCATCCCCGAGGCGGTGCTTGGAATTACTACACAGCCTGATTCCCATAGACGCTCGTACAGAGGTTGACAGGCTGGTACACGAAACGCAGGACGCCGAGTACACCCTATCCATCAGTCCCAGCTCCACTGTGGATTTTGTCAAGCATTTAGAATTTCTGGTTCACATGCAAACCCGAGTGAGTGGTAGTTATGCTTGAGTTTCTGGGTCCCCGTTTCTTACTTGTGTTGATTCTTGGCTCTTTCTCCGGACCCGCCAATGTAACGTCACAACGCCTTGCTTTTGCCCCATAACTTCCAACAACAAAAGTGCCCAGCTTAGCAAACAGTTCGCCTAACAAAAGAATAACCTGAGCTGCCCACATATGACATCAGCCTGGACCAGGGATCAATCAAACACGGCCGCATGCTGCCCGCCGACTATACCCAACCGTGCTTGAGAAATCGTCGGAAAACACGAGACACTGTGATACAATTTATCTTGAACACTGCATGTCGTATTGTCAGTAATCTAACGTGACTTGCGGCCTAGAGTGAGCCATCTCATGGTTGTTACGTGTGACACCTTTTGACACCTTATTAGTTACCCGACATCGTTGGAACATTGATGTGAGTGCTCACTCGTGAAACTCATTCATTCGTGCACGCTGCCGATTTTCTTTTCACCTCACACATTTGTGCCACATTATTGGGATTTGTCCGCTCACTCAAATGTTGGTGGCATCAGGTTTCGGATTTGCCTGTCACTGTGGCCAGCCACAGGACGCCTGCGCCTACAGAGGGATCATGGGTGGCTCGCGCTGCACCACCCACAGCTCCAACCACACACCCCATATCCAGTGTAAACCCGAAGGAATAAGACCGGGAGGCATGTGGATGGAAGCCACGTTTCATCAACGGAGCCCGCCCACACTCATTCACAGGCAAACACAAGCACGCTGTATTTGGGAAACAAGCGCACACAAGGCGGTGGCTGGACCGTAGTCCGCTACACACTGAGTGCATGGAACCACTTTTCCAGCCTAGCACGACCACAAGGACCGTGCACCCCGTCCCATTCAGCAATGACCAACTGTCTCCTAGAGCCAGTATGGACGAGGTGATGGGTAATAGACAGGTAGGCACCTTGTCAACATGCACATCAAGCGCAGCCACACCGGGGATATCAAGCAACAGCCAATCATTTGAGAGAAAGCTAACAAAGAAAAGAAATCGAGTAATGCATAAGGAAACGTGACAAAAATCTTAAATTAATGAGCATATGAAATAAGTTGTTAACAAAGGATCCGAGATAAGTTCAGGGGGTCAGAAAGTATATTTTACTGAAATGACACAAACGAGAAAATGTTATCGAAATTAACTACAAGTGGCTTAAGCGAGTTGTGCAGAATTATAGAAGATCGTACAGGTGGACATTTATTTGAGAAAGAAAAGTATTAGAACAAAATTGAGAACCCACCACCTGAAATAAAGAGACTCAGCATGCAAGCACGCGGTTAGTAAATCGAATGCAGCGTACCTACTAACGCTGCGTTGGTTCTGCCTACGTTCACTGCAGGACCCGTCGTCGCTTCGGTAGTGGTCCCGAGTGGTCTCGCTTATGGCTCAATAAGCCTGCCTGACTCAGGCAACCGCGACCGCATGTGATACAGCACCATGCGCTCGATGTCCATGGAGAACAACCCATCGATGATTTCCGCTTCCGCACTTGCGCTTCTTCTCTGCATGCATGAAGGCTTTCTCCTGCACCTCGGCAACTGCCTTCGTGATCAGATTGCGCCATGCACGCCGATCAACCTTCTTCGATTCCCATGATCTGCAATCAAGATTAGAACGTGAAGGGCTTACTTTGATGATGCCCTGGTAATGTAACTTTGGTTTCCACGCATGCCGCTTCCCTGTACTCAGCTGACCATATAAGAGTTGCCTCGGTATCCGCGTTGAATCCATACGGCTCAAATGAACGAGCCACCTCAGGTGTCTCAGCAAAAGTATGCAGTCCACTGTATACATTTCACTACGGCACAAAACTTCCGGGTCTGCAACACTGTCGCCCCATCCGAAGCGCAAAATCCGTCGCAAGCACTGCTGATGGAACCGCTCGAGATATCGCACATACCGACGGTACATCGTCCACGTTTCACTGCCGTATAGAAGAACGTACAACACCATGGATTTGTACACCATCAGCTTCGTGCCAATAGTAAGCTGATGGTTGTTCCACACTCGGTACTCTAGCTTCCCGAATGCCGCCGCTGCCTTCGAGACGCGTATACGCAGCTCACTGTGTAGCTGCTGGTCAGCCGACATCACAGTCCCAAGGTAGCAGAAGCGGTAGGTGGTTTCCAATACTTCAGCACCAAGGCTGATTTGCAGCAATATTGAAGATCGCACCTCCGGTGAAGGCTGAAAGAGGCAGGCAGTTTTGCTTGTGTTGATGGTGAGTCCGAATTTGGCCGCTATCAATGCCAGAGTGCTGCAACTCATCCGCGTTGTGTGCAAACAATGCACAGTCGTCAGTGAACAGCAACATACGGATAATTGTCTCACAGACTAGGGTTCTCGCACCGAAACGACGAATGTTCAGGAACCCACCATCAATACGGTGCTCCACACGAACACCGTAAGCACAAGCGGCATAAAAAGCACTGGACTTCATTGCATGAAGATGTATATTAAACAGGGTAGGAGCAAAGACACAGCCTTGCTTCACACCAGAGACAACTGCAAAGTCTTCCGAGGTCTCTCCACTCAGCTGCACCCTCGTTCGCATACCACTGTGCAGACATTCAATTAAACTTACAAGCTTACGCGGGCAACCAAACTTACCCAACACCAGCCACAATGCCTCGCGGTTCACCGTATCAAATGCCTTGTTGAAATCAACAAAAAGCGAGTACAATGGCTGGTGTCGTTCCCTGCACTTCTCTTGCAACTGACGAGCCGCAAACACCATATCTGTAGTGCTGCGACTCGAACGAAATCCACACTGCTCCTCCGCCACGTTAGGTTCCACAACCTGACTGACGAGGCGGTTGAGCAGGATTCGGGCAATCACCATGCCCACACAACTCAGCAAGTTGATGCCACGATAATTCGTGCAAACTTGCTTGCTCCCTTTACCCTTGTACAGTGGTAGCACAAGGACTTGTTTCAGCTCAGGAGGCACCTCCTCCTCAATCCATACGCGTTGCACCAAGTAGTGCAGCGCAGTTTACAACGCGGGTCCGCCGTGTTTCAATACTTCAGGTGGGATCCCGTCGGCTCCGGCACATTTGCCATTTCGCAGCTGAGCAAGCGCTCTCTGCGTCTCATCCAGTGTCGGCCTGTCCGCCAGACTCGTCTTCACATTGTGCTGCTTCAGGAAGTTCAATGTAGGCCAATCGATCTCTGAACGGTTGTTCAAGAGACAGTCAAAGTGTTTTCGCCAGATCTGCGTTATGTCTGCAGTCTGTGTGCAGGTAGCGCCAATCGAGCTGTGAGCTTATAACCTGTAGACCTGTTGTCTTCCATGGCTAGGTTTTACGGGAAGAGGGCCATCGACCACTTCCTAACCTCCGAAGAGGATGGACTAGGATACTGGCAGGGCGCCCACTCCTGACAGGAGAACGACTCGGGTTCTCAGCCAAAGCCTTCGATTAAATGAACACCCGAAAGGCAGCGGGTCTAGCACATGGTCAGTTCACTGAATCATGCGGATTGGTGTCCTGGATCTTAGCAGGGAGAAGGGCGGAACCCAACTCCCACCCAGCGGTCGCCACGAGGAGGCGCCCAGGACATGAGCCCATGGCACAACAGTAGCAGCAGTGGGTAGACCATCTGTCAGGATCTAGCCATTACCAGCCTCAGCGCACCATAGGCTCTCCCGCATTGTATAAATCGCCACTAGTTTATACCTGTGTTCATTTGGAGCCACAATTAGACTGACGTGCAGGTTGATAGTACGGAATTGCGCCGGAAGCATAAATTGTTGAGGTTCACACACTTTGGTAATACCAGATGTATGTTTCCTCAATGACCTCTGCTCCTCCGTGTTTCCCATGTTTCGGCTGATTTTTGATTACGTTTGTAATTCAACATCTACTTCTTGTTCAGATCCCACTTATTTCAGCAGGTACCAAAGCCACTGAGGAAATAAAGGCGGACACCGAGTGTCGCGTTTTGGTTGTCTTTTTTCCATGGTTTCTTTTCTGGCTCCTTAGTATTGCGCATAATGCTTGTGCGGCCCACGCTAACCATTTGATTAGTTCTCTGGCCCGCGTTCATCATGTTAGAACCCAAAGGGCAGGCGGTAATTTGCTTATAGCTAAAGTGGCTTACACTAGGTGTGTTCGTTCATACCTTGGAGGCGTCCGCTCATCTGCGTGATCTCCATGGAGTGTTCCCCAACTGGTGCTTGCCTCTGTGTTCACTCCTCTTGCGCATGGAACTGTAATCCTGATGTCATTTTCTACTTTGGGGAAGTCGGCAGGGCTCGCTGTTGGTGTGCCATCTTGCACCACCACACGACTTATACCCGGCGCAGTAGTATCTACGTTTAATCCACCACAATCATATTTTCAATAATCCAGCCAGTTCCAGTCACTTATTCTGGAAATCCGGCCCTCCGTGAAATGAGTTTGGCAATCTCTATGTTGGGCAATGGAAATATAGGCAAATCATGTGATCGGATTAAATTTGCTTCATTCGGGGGGCTAAGTAGATAGACATTTTTGGTTTTCACTTGGTGTACAGTCGGAATTTTGCTGTGATGTTTATCGGTCTTCTATCAGAACCGGCATTCAGCCGTTTCTGAAAGCACCTAGTTGAAAAAATAGCACATTGATTTAGCTTAATGACCCAATGGCCAAAGTGAGCAATCAGGGTTTCTGTTCCTCACCCCACTGATAAACTATCATATCTCCGATGTTTCCTTCTAGATAGAACCAATCGAGAAGGAGGCTGACATTGTGAAGGAAATGTACGACATGATTGAGATCTTCAACGTCCCCGTGCCCCCGGAAGACTACGCAGTTTACCAGGTAATACATCCGGTTCAACAGTTTCTTCCTATACATCGTTGTATTTGCGTGACGTAGAGTAGAGTTACATTTGGTGACACGGTCGCGAGAAACACGAAAGGTATTGAATAAGTCCATATTTCGCTCCATGTACGTCAACGGTACCTACTCCGCTACACTCAACGATCTGTGATATTGTGATACCGAACTCCAGAGCACTGCGCTACAACGCTGCTCGCCCTGAACTCCTTTGTGTGTTGCAACCGTACACGGTATATGTATGTCCAGCTGATCGGTCATCTGGCTGGCTCTCTAGCTAGCCTAGTTGGCGTCTCACATCTGCCTCTTCATGTTACCATCTGCCACAGTATCGGCTCATTTTCGTGTACTAACTTTGACCCATGCAACCTGGTGCAATTGACCCGGCTGGATGAGTCAGCTCTAGGTAACTTGTACATTTGCCATACTTCTGATCTCCAAATCTACCTTAACCTCAGCTATAGCCTGTCATTCCCACTTGTCCCTTTTACAATGCCTAGTGCTTTGCATCTGGTGATAAGCACTGAGTATTTTTATGGCTCACTGATCAAATCTTCTCCTCAAGAATACCCGGTTCGGTTACGTTCTACTGATTACCAAAATGCTTGTAGGTGAAGGCAACAAATACGATGCCACCTGCCGTCAAGATAATTTACATACTCAACCGACCCGCTGCTGATGGGAGTGAAAGAAACACTTTTCAGCTCGTCTTGAGCTGTCAAAGTAACTGAGCACCTGGATATATAACGAGTAACCCAGCTCAATCCTTTTGTGGCTTATGCAGCCTAGAATTGCCGTCTATCCTTTATGGACAACTCAGCTTCTCAATATCTACTATGATATGATAATGCTCCCTAAAACTGGTCTCGCCCAACGCAATGGATGTAGCCGTTCGATTGAATCCTGACAAATATCTTCATTTGCTATCTACCTTCAAGGTTGTGGGGTTTAGGCGATCCACCTTGTGCGCAACTCGAGATCCTACCGGGTGGCATTGCGCGCATCCGGCCTCGGTAAGCTCCATTGCCATCTTCTAATCTTAGTACCTGTTTAGGATGTAGGTCGCTAAGACCTTGGTGTGGCAAGACCAGTTATGACGCTGGACAATGAATCAGCAAGGAATCCGCCTCGTTAATGCCACACTATATTTGCACGCTCAGAATTTGTCTACGATAGTGGCTGCATGCAGCATTTAGAAGACTAACTTCCAGCTCGGTTGATTATAACTTCTACTCCAGATGGTTTATCGATAAACAGTCAACTGCGAGGGCCGAAGTACTTAGTTCACCTAACAGTCAAAAAGAAGGTTCATATCAAGTCACTTCTCAAATGTGTTTGTAACACGCTGAAGACATTTAAACGTATAATCACCGCTACACAGGGAAGTTATCAAGCTGCCCAACTCGTTCAATCAACCGAGCCCGAAGTTTGTCAATCCCTCCAACGAAGGGATCTTAGCCTATCGAGCCACCTCTCACGGTGTATTTCAATTCATTTGGGACTACGTAGCCACTTACATAGGCAGAACTGATAAGGATCTGGGTTCCTAAAGAAGGAACACGTGTCGAAATGGGGTCAGCGTAAAGTTGTCCATCATCCCTACTGCTCTCAACATCCGTGCTCGCGTAGGTCACCAGCTCCTTCAATGGGTAAACACGTACTGGTATCGGGTCCCCGGATTTTGTTGGGTTCAGCATTCAAGATGGATGGTCACCCTGACCCTAGCTTTCTTCGGTATGTTGAGGCCATCACACTAAGCCAGATGAAGTAAGTTTTGTGTGTTCAAAAACCATTATAGCTCAACATTAGGCTGCCTTAGACATAGAGATTGAACTCCCGTTATTCACTCTACATCTCAAATTTGTCCGTTTAGCGACACACTTACATACTGGTTATTGATAATGGTACCGAGGAGTCAAGATTAACTACATGCATTTATCAGCTTACCTTTGCTTGTCGGACTTTTCAGTTCCCGCTTATCCCGTCAGATCAATTCGCTTTTAAGTTCATTTTTTTTCGTTATCCCCCCGTCAGCGCAATGAAATATTGTCGGTGACGATGACACCGAGCTACCTGTGGGTCAAAATACACTGGGTCAACTTGGTGCTCCTTTGGTGGAAGCACGCGTACTCCCACTGACTGACATTGTTCAGCGGATCTTATGGTCATGAGGTGAAGCTAATCTGGTTGTTTCGCCGCTTATTCCATAGCGAATCACTGGTGCAACTATAAGCAATATTGAACGGTTTCGGCAAGATTTTGGAAATATGACTTCACTAATGGTCCTAAGTCGGCCGGTAGCCACAAGGATAGCATGCGAGTCTTGTAATCCAAAGATCACCGGTTTCCATCCATGTCGTTTCGGGAGACTTCGTGGTCTGTTTAACACACGCGCCACCAGTGGTGGTCACGTGACAGTGAAATGTCTGTACGATGTGCCCACGTATCGCTGATGCCTCTCCATCGATCCCTAGCTGATAAACATTAATAGCTCACGTGAATCAGAAATCGCTTTACGCCGATTACAAGTGCTTTAGTAAGACAAAGTTTTACTCTTTCGTAATTGTTCTGAATTTCTACTTCATTAGAGACGATTTTCACTGATAGTACCCTACGCACTGAGTGGCCAATTGAATTCTGATTGGTTCAGTATAACGGAACTGTGCGCCAGAAGTGTTTACACGTGAGCTGAGAGTGGAGACGAAGCGCGTAACCTCACACAAATGTACTTGAGATTTCGAAAGAATGTACCGGCTGAGAGCCAGAGATCGTACACCAACACATGCGAGGGTCCACAAACCTCTTACATCTCCGTATTCATAACTTAATAAGACGGCATCGTAGGACATAAATTATGAAGTAAGTAAACATCAGTACGACACATGAGTTACCACATAATGACTCTGTCTTGAGGAAAGCTCAACAGGTCAATGCGGTGTGCAATGATAGATGATACGGCAGCATCCGTGAGCCAGCTTAGCTGTAATCTGTGCGGTTTGTGTTAGCATCCAACATCGGTGTCCATGAGGAGATTTCAGCTTTCAAGCGCCCATTTTGAGTCCACCGTGTTGACAGAATTGCTCCGCCTGCTAGGGGCGCAGGCCTATACGAGCTTTGGGCAACTTTGGCGATACTATGTGAGCACCGTAACGGCCTATGCTTCACTCCGGGAAAATGTAAAACGCTGCTCCAGGACTGGCAGGTGCCTAAACCCGCGCTCACCATTGCTGGACATGTTCTGGAGCAGGTCTCTTGCTTCATAGTACCCATTAGTAGCAAAGTTTTAGTTGTAAATCTGATAAGGCTTTCATCCCAACAGTTCACAAGCTACATAGCAGAGCCTAGTCCGGAAAAGCGCCAGACGCGTTTCGCCCTATTGGGGCTCGTCAGTGGCGCGCATCCCCTCGGTCCTCTAAGGAGGATCGAACCCATGACCGCTAGAGGCAGATGCCAACTAGCCAGCAGCTTAAGCCACTGAGCCATGGGGGACGTTGGCTGGGCTACATAATTTGCAAACTAGCTGGGATATAGCACCACCTATCTACCACTGTCACTGACAGTGGTTAGCGTGCAAGGTGATGACGTCCTCTCGCTAGACGCTAAATCCATAGCATTTGAAACTAGGAGAGGCTTTTTTGATTTTATAGTACTCATTAGTAGCAGGATTTTAGTTGTAAATCTGATAAGGCTTTCATCCCAACAGTTCACAAGCTACATAGCAGAGCCTAGTCCGAAAAAGCGCCAGACGCGTTTCGCCCTATTGGGGCTCGTCAGTGGCGCGCATACCCTCGGTCCTCTAAGGAGGATCGAACCCATGACCGCTAGAGGCAGATGCCAACTAGCCAGCAGCTTAAGCCACTGAGCCATGGGGGACGTTGGCTGGGCTACATAATTTGCAAACTAGCTGGGATATAGCACCACCTATCTACCACTGTCACTGACAGTGGTTAGCCTGCAAGGTGATGACGTCCTCTCGCTAGACGCTAAATCCATAGCATTTGAAACTAGGAGAGGCTTTTTGATTTTATAGTACTCATTAGTAGCAGGATTTTAGTTGTAAATCTGATAAGGCTTTCATCCCAACAGTTCACAAGCTACATAGCAGAGCCTAGTCCGAAAAAGCGCCAGACGCGTTTCGCCCTATTGGGGCTCGTCAGTGGCGCGCATCCCCTCGGTCCTCTAAGGAGGATCGAACCCATGACCGCTAGAGGCAGATGCCAACTAGCCAGCAGCTTAAGCCACTTATCTAGGGAGTTGCATCACGGCATGCATGGCTTTAAAATCTGTCGCAAATTTGCTAATAAGGCCGTAAAATTGCACAGTAAAAACCAAAAAAAATTACAACCGTTGAACGCAAACCGTAAGGTGAGTGAAACATCAAGGATGCTAAGTAGAAAAAGAAACGATTAATAAATGTAGAAAATATTCAGTGTTTTAATCTTTGTTAATATAGAGCCGAACATTTGAGCATGACTCGAAACTCGATACCACACGCCAACGGGAAAAATATAATAAATTGAATCTACTGTAAATTGTGCATATAATTCAGAATACGAGAATTTGGAATCACACTCCCCCAGAGTCCTTTGCCCTACTCAGCTAATTCTGATCCAAAGTCTCCTCTCAATAGACACTTTAGTCGAACGTCCCCATAAAGTTCCTGTTGTTTGTACAGGTTCAGAAACTTCCCCGACCAGTCCTCGCCCCACCTTCGCTCTTCTATTATGCCCTTTGGGGGGAAGGGGGGGCCACAACCTCCCTGCGGCTGCGTACATCGGCGATAAACAGATCACGCTCTCCGTAAACTGCGCCTCTTGTGTGCCACTATTTGACGAAACTGCACAAATCGGCAGAACAACAAAGAACCACCTTTTTCCAAAATACATCGGACACTGCGCACATTGGCGCCATTGTCTCTCACCCTGGGGAATATCGTGCCGTGCTCTGGTCCATGCCCTGTCTGCTTGAAGGTCACATAAGGC